CTTTTATGAATATGACAGAGGTCCTTAAAGAACAAATCCATTAAAAAATACCTATAATTGGGGGCAGAACCGACGGGGAGAATAATGAGATATCTAGGGGGCGGGCATTATGAGGTTAGGGAGAAACCTGATGTCAGGGAAACTCCCAGGAATCCACAAGGATGACCCCAAATAAGACTCCTAGCAATAGTGGATAGGGTGCTTGAACTGGCCTTCTCCTGTAATCAGATTGGTGACTACCCTAATTGTCATCAGAGAGCATTCTTCCAGTAACTGATGGAACAGATACAGAGATCCACAGCCAAGCACTGGGCTGACTTCACATGCCCACTGCCTTCCTGTTCTCTGGTAACCACTATTCTACCGTATTCTATCCATTGCTTCTTGCAAGAATGAGGAAATATGAAGTTATTATTATTATTGTGGTTTTCATTAGCTGCTATTTATGATGATTTTCAGGTACATTCCCAAGCTCAGTGAGGCTTTTACAGAGCTCTGAAGGTCCTACAAAGGTATACTTGTCAGGGTGGCATAGGTAATGGATGGCGAGGAGATACTGAAGCCTGGAGACTCCTATTGCACCATCTTGCTGATAAATTGTTTTGCCTTGCCTGCCTGCCTGCCTGCCTGCCTTCCTTCATGCCTTTCTTGGTTTTTCAAAACAGGGTTTCTTTATGTAGCCCTGGCTGTCCTTGTAACTCACTCTGTAGACCAGGCTGGCCTTGAACTCAGAGATCTGCCTGCCTCTGCCTCTCAAGTACTAGGATGAAAGACACTGCCACACCACCTGGCTTGTTTTGCTTTTATCTGTCTGTCTGTCTATCTATTTTTGGAAACACATGAATGCCATGTCTTGCTGAGGTGGTCTTCTTGTTGGGAGGAAGTGTTTATTTGTTTTGGGGTATTTTTGTTTGTTTGTTTTACTTTTATTATCATGACTTTTTACAGTCTTGTTTTGGTTATTTGTTTATTATGTGTATGAGCTCTTGCTGTGGAGGTCAGAGGGTAGCTTGTGGAGTTCTCTCCTACCATATGGATCCTGGGGCTCAAACTCAGGCTGTCAGGCTTGGCAGGGCCTTTACCTCTGAGCCCTTGCAATCCTGCATAAAGATAGTCAGAGCTTATCTAGTTTGGATTCCCTTTATTTTATCCTCTTTAGGGTTTTATTTTGGCAGTGATTTTCAGAGAAACATCATCTGTCCTTTCTCTGTTCAGAATATTTAGATCTTCCACCATAATGCTGCTTTTTTTTTAATAACATGAGAAAATTGCACAAGTATACTTCTTTTTCTTAAAAAAAAAAAATCTTGTGTTTCTTTTTTCCTATTATTGGCTCCAGATTTTTCTTAAAAAACAAAAACATGGTTTCTTACTAGTTTTTAATTGTTTACAATGATAATTTGTATTTGCTCAAGTATTTTTCAGATATTTGTGTCCATTTGATTTTCATAGTGATTTAAAGCATTTAGATAGTAAATGTTAGGATTTTTAGGAGCTTTGAATTTTGTCATTATATATAGCTAGTATCTATATTTGCATTTTACTTTATAGTATTCAAAGTTTCTCTAAAATTACTTAGTTATTTAATGGTGCATCAGCCAGTAGAGGAAGAGGAAAAGCCCTTTTTTCTAGTTTTTTATGTTCTCTAGCTGGGGCCTCATGAATAAGGTGTTAAAAGACAAGTTAAAGTAAGCCTTCATCCAGCAACTGATGGAAACGGATGCAGACCCACAGCCAAACGTTAGGTGGAGCTCCAGGAATTGTTTGGAAGAGAGGGAGGAAGGATTGTAGGAGTCAAAGTGGTCAAGGACACCATAAGAAAACCCACAGAATCAACTACCCAAGGCTTATAGGGGCTCACAGGGACTGAACTGACAATCAGGGAGCCTGCATGGGACTGACCTAGGCACTCTGCACGTATGTTACAGTTGTGTGGGGCTCCTAACAGTGGGAGCAGGGGCTGTCCCTAAGGCCTTGGCTGGCTGGGTTCCTCACACTGGGTTCCCTTGCCCAGCCTTACTACAAGGGGCGGGGGGTGCTTAGTTTTACTGCAGCTTGATATGCCTTGTTTGGTTGATATCCACGAGAGGCCTGCCCTTTTCTGAATAGAAAGAGAGGAGGAGTGGATTGGGGCAGGGTGGGGGAGGCTGGGGGTGGATAGTGGTGGTGGGGACAAAGGGGAGGTTAGGGGAAGGGAATGGGAGGAGAGAGGGGTGGGGAAACTGTGGTTGGTATGTGTGTGTGTGAGAGAGAGAGAGAGAGAGAGAGAGAGAGGTGGTGGTTAATAGTGAAACACCATATAATCTCTATTCTGTGTTAATGTTTTAATTGTTATGTGCATGGAGGCTTCAGAGAAAAGGAGCAAGGCCTGCCAAAGCTGTTAGATGCGGGTCTTAAGTTATTTTCAACAAAGGGCGGTAAAGTGTGGAGAAGTGCTAAGACAAAGGAAAAGCAGTTTTCCTAGGACAGCAGTTTATAGAGGACAAGAGTTCTTAGCTTGCTGCTTCTCCAGCCTTCAGCTAAAACGAATCTAGAAGCCAAGTGGCAGTGTGGTTTCTGGTAACACTCTGATCGCCTGTCCAGAGTTCAAAACCAGAGCCGTGACTTATGACTCTGTGCCCGAAAGAACCTCCAGCACCTGCTGTCTCCTTTCAGTAAGTCAGGACCTGTCTTCAGCAGTGTCTTATGAGAATGGACTGGAATTTAGAAGCTGTGTGGTTTGGTTGTAGGTGAAAGTATCCTAGTTTGTAAGAACTCTGAGAAATCAAAGGGCATTGCTCTGCTTCGAGGGTCTCTGGAGCCTGTGCACAGCTGTCTGCAGAGCCAAGGAGAAGTCACTGCTAGCATGATACGAGCTATTCTGGAGGTAGGAGTCCAAAAATCACCATTTACTCCTTTATACCTATTGAAAATCAAGTATGCCAAAAATCTGATTTTAAGGAAACAGATTATTGCTGGGCCATGGTGGCACACGCCTTTAATTCCAGCACTCAAGAGGCAGAGGCAGGTAGATCTCTGAGTTTGAGACTGGCATGGTCTATAGAGCGAGTTCTAGGACAGCCAGAACTACACAGAGAAACCCCGTCTCAAAGAACAACCCCCGCCCCCAAAACCAAACAAAAACAAGATTATTATATTTATAGCTTTCCCCAGTACGGATCTGTTTCTCACATATATTTAAACATAATACAGATATACACAGTTCTTCAGGCTCTGCCAAATACGCTGATAAATTCTGATACATGTATATATATATATATATATATATATATATATATATATACATATACATATACATATATATACACACACACATATAAGTTTATATGTACATATGCCTATATATTATTTATGAATATGTAGTTATTTTTGGAGTTTAATATAGCTACTACCATATCAATCTATTTCGAAACAATTAAACAACCAAATGAGATGTAGTTCTTTTTAACTTGTGTGTGTGTGTGTGTGTGTGTGTGTGTGTGTGTGTGTGTGTGTGGTGTAGGAAATAGAGGAATAGAACTCAGCCTTGTGCATGCTGTGTGTGCACTCTGTTACTGAGCTGTAACTGTGGCTCATCTTTTTTACTTTTTATATATTATTTACTGCATTTTGAGTTTCAAGAAAAGATGACAACATGAACCATAGTTCTTCTATTCAGATAATATATGTGGACATTAAAATCAAATCAAGTTATAAAAAAATAAGCTCACAGAAGGGCTGGATCTGTGGTGCTGCTCCTTATTCTAGCCTACTGGAGGCTGAGACATGAGCTTCAAAAGTTTGGGGCCAGCCAAGGCAATACACACCAAATATTAACTCCATATTTTTCTTCCCTTCCCATTCTTATTGGGAAGTTGTAAGAGTAGTGTTTCTACATGTCCATGTGTTCTAGAGGAAGGAGCAAAGACTGATTAGACTCTTGGCTGTGAGTCATCACTACCTCCTTTATATGTATAACTAGTTCCCAAAGTTCAGGTGCATTCTTTTTTGATTACAAGAAAATACTAGATTTACTTTCCCAGAAAATGTTATGTTGTCAGTAGGTATCATCTGTATTTGTAATGTGTGATGACAAAAGATTTAATAAAGCATCGTTACATACAGACTGAAGATATCTTAAGAAAATAAAGTCACTTCATTTACTTGATATCTAGAGGCTCTACACGTCTTAGAAAAATTACGGAACTTTGCAAACATTTTCTCCCAGATAATCGTTGGTGGAGTGGCAAGTACATCACAAGATATGCAGACTTATGCCTCCTGTACATTCTTGGCTGCTGATGTAAAGGAAGGCAGGCAGGGAATTCGGAGAAATCAAGATGATGATCAGCTTGGAGCAATTGATGCCTGTGTGACATGGCTGTTGGAAAACGAGTTCATCCAGGTGACAGAGCCCAGTGATGGCGCAGGAGGTAAACACAAGCACTCATGCAAAAATGCTCACTCTTTATATTGTATTCACTTTTTATTGCTCATACATTCTACATGTTGGCTAAGGTTCTGCTTATTGCTTTGATTGGAACTGAGAGGGTTAAGTGTAGTAGAGGAGGCAGTGCTTTGTTTTGTTTTAACCTTTGCTCCTCTATTCCCTCTCCAGGAAAGGTTTATCAGCCAACACATCTTGGATCAGCTACTCTTTCTTCCTCACTCTCTCCAACTGATACCCTAGATATTTTTGCTGACCTCCAAAGAGCAATGAAAGGCTTTGTTTTAGAGAATGACCTTCATATCGTTTACCTGGTAAGTTCTCTTTAAAAAACAAAACTATCTATCTCTTATTGACAGGATCTCACTGTGTAGCCAAGGCTAGCCTGGGATGCTTAATCCTCTTACCTCTAGCTGTGGCCCAGTCTGACCTCAAACTTTGAATCTTCCCATCATAGTCCCCTGGCTGCTGGCTTACAGGTGTGCACCAGCATGTACCTCAGCAGCCTACTTTCTTTCAACCTGAAGAACTTTGGTTAGTCTTAAAGACGTACTTGCTAGCAACATTTTCTGGTTGTTTGTCTAGAAATGTCTCTGTTATCTCTTTGGTTTTGATCGATACCTTTCCTTGATTCTTAGTTGACAGCGCTTTTACTCTTCCTCAAGTACTTGGACTATGCCCGTCTCCTCACATCCTGTCTCCAGTGTTTCTGGCGAGAAGTTAACTTTTAATATTATTGTGTTTCCATTGTGCAAGGTGACTTGTTTTTCTGTTGGTTCTTTCCTTTCTGTTACTATGATAAACACCAAAGCAACTTGAGAAGGAAAGGGTTAATTTGGCTCACACTCTTAGGTCACAGTCCATCACTGGGGAAGTCTGGGCAGAAACCATGGAGGAATGTTGCTTGCTGAGGCAACAAGACAGGCTCGTGTTTTGCTAGTTTTCTTATACAGCTTAGGAACACCTGCCTAGGGATGGTGCTACCCATAGTGGGTTGTTGTCCCCCTGAATTAATTAGTAATGAAGATAATCACCCACAGACATGTTTATAGACCAAACTGATAAGAAAAAACTCAGTGGGGACTTTTTAAAGATGATTTTAGGTTCTGTCAAGTGATAGTTAATGCTAACTAACTAGAACACTATCTTTGCTGCTTTCAAAATTCTCTGTCACTCAGTTTGTGACATTATTATTATGATGCATATTGATGGAGATCCCTACATATTTCCTTACTTGGAGCTTATGAAATCTTTTTGGATATGTAGGCTAATGTTTTCATTGAATTTGGGATACTTGCCACATACCTTTAATCTCATCTCTTGAGATATAGAGGCATCTCTATGAGTCTGAGTCTAGTCTGATCTACATAGTGAGATCCAGGCCAGTCAAAGCTATGTAGTGAGGCCTTTTCTAAAACCAAAACCAAAACCAAAACCAAAATACATAATAAATAATTTTTAAAATAAAAAAAAAATGGGGATGCTGTCTTAGTTACATTTCTATTGCCATGTAAGACACTATGACCAAGTCAACTTTTAAAAGAAAGGATTTAATTTGGGGCTTATAGTTTCAGAGGGATAGACTTCATATGACCACTCAGTGACACACCTCCTCCAGCAAGGCCACATCTTCTAATCCTTCCCAAATAGTTTCACCAACTGGGGATCAAATATTCATGCATATGATCCTATCAGGGCCATTCTCATTCAAACTACTACATTCTACTCCCTGGTCCCCATAAGCTTGTAGCCAAATCATAAAGCAAAATGCATTCAGTCCAACTTTAAAACTCTCCATAGTTTTTCACAGTTCAAAAGTTCAAAGTCCACAGTCTATTCTGAGATTCAAGGCAATCTCTTATTATAATCTTCTGTAAAATAAAAAAGCAAATTAAATTCTTCAAATGTACAATGGCACAGGATATACATTACCATTTCCAAAGGGAAAAATGGGGCCATAGTGAGGAAATACTGCATGAAAGCAAGACTGAAGCCAGCATGGTAAGCCTCAAATCCTGGAGGTCTGTGTCTGATTTCAGAGGCTTAGATGGCTTTTCCCTTCCAGCTTCGCTGCTGGTAACACACTTCTCTTTCTTAGGCTAGTTTCACTCTGTGCAGTACTCCTTGGCAGATGTCTCATGGCTTTGGCGTCTTCAGTGTGTTGGGGTTTCCAGCATAATTCTGGCTTCACTTTCATTGCTTCATACAATGACCTTTCAGGACCTCTATCCTGGGACTCCCTGCCACACACCAGGCCTCAGACTTTCTTTAACCACAGAGAAAGATTCTACAACCCTATACTCATCTATTCTTCATGACTAAAACCAGAACCATGTGAATGACAACCACCAACATGGGGTGAACCTTGGCACCCTTGAAGCACATTTGCAGGAGCTTTCCTTTGTTGTTACTTTTAGGCATAGAAAGTTCCCCAAGTCTCACTTTTTACAAATTGAAAGCTTAGCTGGGTAAGCTAAGAGTACCGCTCCCTTTATTCCATTTTGAAACAGGTCTTTCTTGAATCTCATCTATTATGCCACAAGGCTTGATTCTAACATTAAGTTCCTTGGTGTTCTTTTTTGCTTCAAACTGTACATTCTGTATTTCTTTTTCCTTGATTGTCCTTTTTCATTGTAGACCCACATAAGAGTGACTACTAATAACTACAGGACAGAGTCAATATTAGGTTGTCTTGAAATCTCCACTGTCAAGGAAATAAATACTTTTCAATTCAGCCTCAGACAGATTCTTAGTACAAGGGCAGAAAACAGCCACGTTCTTAGCCAAAATATCACAGTAATGTTCTAGAGCTAAGTTGCTGATATTGCTCTGCTCTAAACCCTCTTGAGCTGGGCCTCATTGCTCTCGTACTCCTGTCTTCAAGTTCTTACTGGGATGGTCTGTTAAGCACTGCTTAGAGTGCTTTCCTAATCCAAAGTCCCAAAGTCTTCCACATTCCCCCAGAAACAGTCTGGTCAGGTCTGTCACACAATACCCCATTCCTGGTACCAAGCTCTGTCTTAGTTACTTTGCTGTTGTTGTGATGAAACCAAGGCAGCTTTCAAAGAAATTGTTTAAGTAAGTAAGGGCTTACTGTTCAAAAGGCTTAGAGCCCATGGTGGTAGAGCAGAGGCTGGCGTCAGGAACAGTTGAGGGTTCACATCTTGATTGGTCTACAAGTTGGAGACAGACAAGCAGTCAGAGACAGACAAACAGTGAGAGCACACAAGTGAGCATGCACACTGGGAATGACATAAGTCTTTTGTTTCTAGCCTATCCCTGGTGACACACCACTTCCAACAAGGCCACACCTGATCCTTCCCAAACAATTTCATTAACTGGGTACCAGCTATTGAAACAAATGAGCCTATGGGGGCCATTCTCATTCAAACCACCACAGATGCTTTTAGCCTTAATTTTTTGAAATATTTTTAATTTTCTCCTCCTGGATTCACTGTGTGTATGTTTGTACATTTAATTTTTACCACATTTCTCTGAAACTTTCTCATCTTTCCACTCCTTTTTTTTTTTGAGATTGAATAATCTCTACCAATGTCTTCATGTTTGTGGGTTTTTATTTTTCTTAAGCCATGTTAAATTTACAGTTGAGCTCTGTAATTTTATTGTGTTTTATGTAGCTCCAGAATTAGCCTTTAACTCCTATTTAATAACATTCTTTTCATTTATGTCCTTTTCTTGCTAAGATGGTGTCATGCTTTATTTTTTTACCTTTCTCTCAACCTACCTTCATCTCCCTTTTGTCCCTTCTCCCCCCCCCCCCCTTTTCTCTCTTGTAGGTGGAGTTTTTCCGTTGGGACAGTGATCAGCTCTATTCTGCCAGCTGCTTCCCAAATAACCACTCAGAGACGTATTATTAATTATAAATGCTCAGCCAATAGCTCAGGCTTGTTACTAACTAGCTCTTATATTTTAACCCATTTCTATTAATCTATGTGTTACTCTGAGGCTTGTGGCTTTTACCTCTTATACATGTCCTGCTTCCTTTCCATCTAGCTGGCAACTCCTCTGACACCACCCTTCTTCTTCCCAGAATTCTCTCTGTCCCGAAAATCCTGTCTAGCCATCGGCCAATCAGCTTTTTATTAACAATGAGAGCAATACATATTTACAGTGTACAAAGATTGTTCCATAGCAGTCTCTTTTCTTCTTTACCTCTGCCCTTCTACCCTCCCATTCCTTCCTTCTTTTCTTCCTAAATGTCTAAATGTCTTTTTTTTTTTTTTTTTTTTTTAAGCCCAGGCTAGCCTCAAACTTTCAAAGTATTCTAGGCTGGCCTGGAATTTACCAGGTCCATCTCAAACTTTGTATCCTGGTGCCTTAGCTACTACACAAGGGCTGGGATTACAGACATGCACCCTTTTATTTCTTTAAGCATTTTTAAGTCCTTTTGTACACATTTATAATGTTTTTGTCTTTAAGGTCTTTTCATGTTCTAACATCTGGACACTTAAAGATGTTTCTTTGTTCCCACCTCCACCCCATGCTTCGGACACTTGTCCCTTTTCTTGTTGGTCTCATAGCTTTCTTGTGGAATCCTGGACCTTTTAACAAATATATCAACTGTGAGTATTGACTCCCCCCAACCCCCATCTCTTCTTTCCATTTTACTGATCCTTTCGTGGAATTTCATGAAACAGTTAAGATAATGCCTTGAGTCAGACCTACTTAGGTTGAAAATGGCTATGATTAAAGACTTGCATTCCATGAAATCCAGTTTGTATGGTTAACAGTCTCTCCCCTTCTCCTGCCAATCTCTCTGGCTTTCTCTCCTTCTCTGTCTGTGTTTGTTCTATCAATGAGTTTCTTTTGAATAAATGTTGTTTTTTTTTTATAAATGAGTTATTATCACAGATGCTTTCTGTATCCTGGGGCCTTTGTCTTTGCTATGAAGTTAATATTTATAATTTTGTTACTTAGGTAGTATAAATGGGTTTGTTTGTTTTTGTCCATTGTTAAGGCTTGAACTCATGGCCTTGCATATGCCAGGCAAGTGTTTTACCATTGAGCTCCCACAGCTCATTGTCAAGCAACTACTCAAACTAAAATGATGCTTCTTTTTAGGTTACACCTGTGTTTGAAGATTGGGCTGGTATTGACTGGTATCGATTTTTTTGTTTATGGGAAAAATTGCCAACTTCTATGAAAAGGGTGGCAGAGCTGGTTGGAGTTGAGGAAGGGTTCTTGGCTCGCTGTGTGAAAGGAAAAGTAGTAGCCAGAACTGAGAGACAACATCGACAAATGGCTGTCCATAAAAGGTAATCATACCATAAGAGGCAAGGAGCCTGCAGCATTTAGCAGTGCTGGGCTTATGTTGATATCCAGTTTGCCGAGTCACTCTCATTGTCAACAACAATATAAACATTTTGACTGACTATAGTAAATTTTTTAAATTTCTCTTATTTTATTTACTGATGTTTTAATTTTTCTTGCAACTTGAAATTTAGTCATTATGCCTGCAAGTTTTTAAAGTCAAATATTTAATCACTTCTTGATTTCCATTTGTGGTGATTTCATCTGGAATTGTGCTTTATAGCACCCTTAGAAGTAATGCTTTACCACCTGGAAGGTGCTAAAAGATTCACATGGGGAAACTGTGTAGCATGTTGTTTTAAAATACAGTAAAACTATTTATAGTATAAGATTTACATCTCAGTCAAGTGCAAATTTATAAGGATCTCTGTGCTTGGATTATTTGTGTAAACTTTTTGTTTCAAATAAAATCTGGATTTTATAATTAGATACTATCATTTGACTAAATTTCTATTTATCTTATATTCATGTATCAAATTTTTAAAAGTTTTGTGCCATTCCATTTCTTAAATCAAGTATCATTTCTTGAAATCAGTTAATAAATTGAAATGTGAGGACTTTTCCTTACACTGATGTTAGTTCTTCGCTGTGGCTAAGGTGTGTAAACGTACTGTGATCTGAGTTTGCCCACCAGCCCTCTTTCTGCCCTCCTCCCAGAGAGGTGAGCCCCTGCAGCCTTTTTGGTCTGCAGTTGGTTTGCAGTATGTGGTATATTTTCAGAGTATCTGTGAGTGACCTCTTACAACACTCTTGATGATTTATTTTTAGGTTTTTCACAAGTCTTGTGTTATTGGATTTAATCAGTGAAGTTCCCTTAAAGGAAATTAATCAGAAATATGGATGTAATCGTGGACAGATTCAGTCTTTGCAACAGTCAGCTGCTGTTTATGCAGGTCAGTTAGCCAAAGGGTGTCACGTTTATCTAAGATTCTACCATTGAAGGTTGTTAAGATTCCCTTTCCTTCCCCCTTCCTTCCTTCCTTCCTTCCTTCCTTCCTTCCTTCCTTCCTTCCTTCCTTCCTTCCTTCCCTCCCTCCCTCCCTCCCTCCCTCCCTCCCTCCTCTCTTGTGTCCTCATCCGTTGATACACTGGTGCCTCTGGATGCAGTGTACCCTGTAGAGAGCCATCATCAGACGGTCTCACCCTTCTTCCTCTTCTGTTCCTTAGAGACTTGCTGATAGTACATCCTTTCTGTGGCCCCTCCTCTTCAGCCTTTACAAGGAGAAATAGAAAGTTCTCAATGGAATCCCTTTCCTCTTAGTACTGACTAATAGGTTTTGAGAAAGAGGCTGTAGATGAAGAGAGATTTGTGGACCTGACCATTCTAAATAACATGCCTTAGGAAACATTCTTAAGTTACACAAACAGGTAGATTCTGGGTCTGCTTTTACGAAAGAATCTTTGTTATCCCTTAGGAAGGAAACCCAGGACCAAGAGCTTCCTTGTGAATGTGCCTCCATAGGAGGAATACTGTATAGAAGATGTGGGCAGAGGGTAGGATGAAGGGAAGGACTCAAGTGACTGGCGTCAGAGATCAGTGTTCTTACAGAGGGTGATTTCTTCCAGGGCTGTACTTGGCTGTTGTGATCTCTTTATTTCAAGAGGGTGGAGCCTTTCTTTGAAGAAAATAATAATGGGAATCTCACTGTAGTTCTCTCAACACTTGAATTTTTAAATCATTTGTCTAGGAGAGAGTCCTTCACCTGCTTTGTTAGAGTTCTCTTTTCCTTAAGAAAAGAAGAAAAAGGAAAAACAAGAGAGAGGTAGTGAGAGGAGTGGACTAGAATGGGAGCTTTTTGTTCTCTTTGTGAATATATGCCTTACCTCAGTATCCAAATGTTTTTAGAATTAGGAGTCAATGAGATGGGCCTTGAGAGAGGGCTTGTTATGCCAGCCTGAGGTCCAGAGTTCAGATCCCCACACCCTCACACAAAGCTGAGCACAGTAATGAATGTCTGTAATCCCAGTGCTGAAAGACAGCTAATTAGCTTCCTAGCTAATTAGTCCAGTCAGTTGGTGAGCCCAAAGTTTAGTGAGAGACCTTGTCTCAAAGAATGAAGTGGAGAGCGAGAAAGGAAGATGCCTGATGTTGATCTCTTGCCTCTAATTGTGCACACATGGGCACACACAGGTAAAATGCATGCACACAGAATAAAACTTGAAAGAATAAATGAGATAATGTCTAATATTCTTTATGAGCATAACTAGAACTTCTAATATTGTCTGCTCCATTAACTTGGCCCTTGGCCCTGTTAAACCATATGTTCTGCAGAAAAGCAAAGTCAAACCTAATACGTGCACATGCATACATGCATATACACACATATGTATCTACACATACATGTTTGTATATATAGGCATGGAGAATTAGTCTAAAAGCAATTTTTAATTCAACAAATCTCTGACTGCTCTAGGAATGATTACAGTGTTTTCCAACCGTCTGGGCTGGCACAACATGGAACTACTACTTTCCCAGTTTCAGAAGCGGCTTACATTTGGCATCCAGAGGGAGCTGTGCGACCTCATCCGGGTCTCCTTACTGAACGCCCAGAGAGCCAGGTTCCTGTATGCCTCTGGCTTTCTCACTGTAGCAGACCTTGCCAGAGCTGATATTTCGGAGGTGGAGGTGGTTCTGAAGAATGCTCTGCCTTTCAAAAGGTAATGAAGTCTGTGTCTGTTCTAGGTTATTAGAGGACAGCTCATCAACCTTAGGGCTAGTCTCTGTGTTAGAAATGTGGCAACTTTTTCCTCTTGAGGGTTACTGTTCGTTTTCTACTTGACACACTGTGCGATTGGAAAGGTGTTTGTAAAGTGGTGGGGGTCTGAGTAAGGCACCAGTGTTCTCTCTGCTGTGGTAAGTTAGATTTCCATGACCTCTTCAGGGCTCATGTGTTTGCTCCACTCCTTTAAATGTTCTTCGGAACACTAGACCCTCAGTGCAGTTTGTGAGGGGCATTCCTTGATGTGCATGGCAGGGGAGGGGCTAACAACACATCAGGCTGGACTAGCATATGATAAAGAATAACTTAATTGCTTTCTCTTTGAACACATTCCAAAATGAAAAGATCAGGCAGACTTTCAGCTCTTTACTGTCAATTACTAACAATTTTATTTTGAGGAACATTAAAAATGGACTCTAAATCAGAAGGCCCATCTCATTTCTAGTTCAGTTTCTTCCCTTTGGCTCATGTTAGGCCTGACTTTTGGACTGAAACTTTTAACAAGCATGGGAAAGATCAGGGAGTGGCCTTTTACAAGCCTCTTGGCTTTATATGTCTCGTGTTGATGTGGGATGATGTTTAAATGGGCAGAAAATTGTTTTGAGTGGTATTTGTTTCTGTAGCTGTTAGGTGTTGAATGTTGGCCTGTGTCCACATTGTGGTTCTTTCTCCTGAGGGACACTTTTGTGATGTTTTAGGGTCCATGTCTTTTATACTCCATCCTTACTAATGCTGAAAAAATTACAAAGCTTTCTGTGTCCAAAGCAGTGGTATAAGAAGGCTTCTTAGTGATCGTAGTGGTTTGAATAAAAATGGCTCCCATAAGCTCATAAATGCTTAGTTATCAGGGAGTGCACTATTTGAGAAGGATTAGGAGGTGTGGTCTTGTTCGAGTAGCTGTGGCCTTGTTGGAGGAAGTATGTTCCTGGGGGTGGGCTTTGAGGTTTCAAAAGCTATGCCAGGCCTAGTCTGTCTGTCTGTCTGTCTGTCTGTCTGTCTGTCTGTCTGTCTGTCTCTCTCTCTCTCTCTCTCTCTCTCCTTACAGATGTAAAGGTCTTAGCTATTGCTCCACACCATGTGTGCCACCATGCTCCCCATCATGATGATAATGGACTAAAATTCTAAAACTATAAACAAGCCCCAATTAAATGTTTTCCTTTATAAGAGGTGCTGTGGTCATGGTGTTTCTTCACAGCAATAGAACACCGACTGCAACAGTGATGTAATGAGTCAGGTTTCTAGTTTCAATCATGACTCTTTGGGGGAGAGAACATCCTCCAGAAGGATACCTCTGAGTTGGTGATGGGTACAAATACTGTAGAGCCTTAGCTGTGGTAGTATCTCATAATTTTTTTTAATCAGTGTTCAGTTGTCAATCTCTATTTAGTATATGGCAATCTTTCTCAGCTGTCTTTCTCCTAATCCCATAGGTTTTAGTGTGTGGGTTTGCAGTGCATGATGTTTTTAAGGAATACATGTGGGTTGTAATAGAAATTTACAGCCCTTTTTATTGCATTAGGACATTTCACAGAGTTGTGTTTAAGTAATTTAGGGGTATATTTTCAAGACTTTTAGTAATGTATTTTGTTTTTAAAACAATATATTTGAATTTCTTGGTAAGGTCCTATTAGCTAGGGCTTTGGTGGTTCTTGTGATATGAGTTATTGCATAGCTGTGGTCCTTACAGGAGTGACTTTCAGTCTCCTGTACATCGCCACTATGCCTAGTGAGCTGACCAGAAGATAGTTCTCATTGCTGCCATCTTTAGCAGTCCTCTCCAGTAATAAATTACATTTTTGATAGGCCTTACTATATAATAACAGCTCTTCTTGACATTGTGATTTTCCCACCTCAGCCTCCCTAGTGCTAGGGTTCCTGCATGCACAAGCACATCTCCCTGCTCCAGTTCTGGAGCTGGGACAAATTCTGAAGTAGGTGCTGATTGAGTGTTTTCAGCTCTAGAGTATAAAATCCCATCTGTCTGAGAATTAATTAGGCCTGTCCGAATTAGTGTCTCATCTCTTTGAGATGTGCCCCTGGCTGACTGCTTTACCTAGACTAGGCCTCCAATTTTCACAGACTCTTTAGAGATAAATATCTATGACCAAGACATATACTAGTAGTTTCTGAGGTGAAGAAGATGGGGTGTAGACAGGCATGGTGATAATATACTACAGATGACTTGGAAGTCTTCAGGGATCCATCTTAAGGCAGTATACATTAAAAAAAAAAATCAATTGAAAGTTCTTGCTCACTGTTTATAAGCACATCTTGAGGCTTCCTTCTGTTTTGTGGTAAGGTTGATAGGTTGATGCTGCCACGATTATGTCTGTTCTGAGAGTCTAGAACCTTAATTCATCAAAATTATTGCTAACAAATAAAACTAATCAATATCATGCTTTATGCAGTGTGTTGAGGATGCAAATACTCTCTGGAATACCTTTTCTTTTATAATGTCTTCTTTTAAAAAACATTATTAAATATGTTTTTATCACAGAAATGTACAATAAATATGTTTACATTATGGAAAGGCTAAGTTGAGATAACATAAATATCACCTAACATGCTTACCATTTTATTTTTGCGGAGAGAATACTTCTAGTCTCCTTCACAGCAGGTTTTAAGAACCCAATACCATGTTATACAATATGCTAAGCTATTCTTAGCAAAATGCCTAATGTGGATTTAATCATAAGGAAAAATTGCAAGCATGGAGTAGAAAATAATCTATAAAATATTTGCCCAGTACTTTTCAGAAATATCACAGTTGTGAAAAACAGAGTCGGGAGGCACTTCTAATTAAGGCAGACTGGAGTTAAGTGACTAGAAACATTACTTAGATTCTAAGTTTCATTACAAAAGAGATAAGGGGACCAATTGGTGAAAATTGGTGGGCACTAGCTATTGGCTTGTGAAAATACTTTTGGGCATAGAAACTGTGTATTTGTGCCTGGTCTCCCTTTCCTTTTAATGCTTAGTACATTAAAAGCTAGAAAGTCTACTGGCATTCAGATCGCCTCCAGTTCGTTAGCATTGCCACAGTCTGCAATGAATTACTCTCCTCTCTGCATAGGAATTTTCATATTGTTGGGGATAATTCAGTGGGGTGGGTTCCTAGACATGGTATTTCAAAAGGTAAGTGCATAAGCCTTGTTAGCTACTCAGAACTGCCCTCAGGAGGGTCAACCAGGCTGCATTTCCTCCATCAGTCTACTGGTAGAAGGCCAGTTTTCTCCCAGCCTCACCAATAGAAGCAATGCGTTGTTTGTCATTGTGTCTCCTCCTGGTTTGACTTTGCAGCTGTGTAAATGTGAGTCATCCTGAATATCTCCTGTATGCTTCAGGGTCAATTTTAGATCTTTGTGACTTACCTGAGGAGGTCTTACCCTTAGATTTCTATGGTTATTTTTTTTTCTTTCTTAAATTTTTTTTCAAATGGATATCAATTTTGATATGTCTTTCAAATATTTCCTCGCAATTTATCACTTTACTTTTTTTGTTTGACAACCCAAAATTTAGTTTTTTATATACAAGTGTATGGTATATGTATGTATGTGAGTATGCACAGGTGCCCATGGCCATATATGTTCAGAGGTTAGAGGAGGATTCAGGTGTTCTTCTCTATTGTCCTGTTTCTTCTTCCTTTGAGACAGGATCTATCACTGAACCCCTTGTACTGTTTCTCACCAACAAGCCATAGCTCTGCCTGTCTCTGCCCTCCTGCTCACCTTCCTGTAAACTCTTACACTCCCTGTCCTGATGGGTTCTGAAGACTCCATTATGTAAACATGTAAAAGTGTATGGTCTACCACTAACAGACCATCGAGGCCTGTTATGATCAGTGCAGACCAGGTATGTTTGCAATGATAAGGTCTAATGGCTGAAATAGATTCGCTTGTTCATTCAGTTCTTTCTTACCTCACTTTAGACTCACAGATATGGTTCTCCTTTAGTCTGCTGTTTTTAGGAGACTTCTCTCTGGCTCAGTTTATTCTCTGTAGTTTTGCCCTACAACCATTCATACCTGCTTTGTGTGTGTATGCGCGATTGTAGTTTTGAGCATTGATTGTGTCCTTTATCACACTTAAGCTCTTTCTGACTCATATTTCACCTGGTCCTGAACTAGGTCTCATGGCTACCTTCTTGCTTCCACTTGTTTGGGATCCTTTTATCCTTAGGTTTTGAATCCCTTCGCATTGGTAACGTTTTGTGTATCACTCTTTGTAGTAGTTGAGTCTTGCATCTGGACCATATTGAAAACCTTTTTCTTTAGATAGATGCTTCAGTCCTATTCATATGTTGTAGCTATGACTGGTAAGTTTGCTCTTCTATTTGATGAGTATTTATGACATTTGCCATGTTTCTTTCTCTCCAGGTCATCTCTGCTTTGCTGTTCCAATTTTAAAGTTAGAAAGTTGTGGTAAATTGTGTTTGTATTCTGCACGATCTGGTTCTTCAAGATTTTGGGTGTCTTGTACCTTCTACCCACTGTCTGAACAGCAGTTATGGAATTTCCTTTCCTTTCTTTTTGCCGTCTTCTGTGTCTCAGCATATAGCACACTGCACATTAAGTTTTCATCTTTGCTCTAGCCTCTGTTCAGGGTGAAGGTAAAAAGGTGGTGTAAGCTGCATCATTATGTGTTGAGATTCTGACTTTCAGTCTCGTGTCTGGATGAGTCTCTGCTGAGATTCCTTGAGGAATGCTTTGCTTACAAAAAGGTTACTGTATGTTTAAAACTGTCCTCTGACCTTGAATGTTTGAAGCACAGTGTAGCTAATATAAAATCTTCGATCTATTTGACTCTACAGACAAAACTTGGTTATGTTGCCTGGGATGACCTTGAACTTGAGATCCTCTGCGGCAGCCTCCCGAATTCTGGGAGAAAACACCACAACTAGTCTATGTTTCCTTTAATTGGAGGTTGTTGTTGTTGTTTTTGTTTTTCACCCTTTCTTGCTTTGCATTGTGTGTTGTCATGGAAAGTTTGATAGTAGCCAGAGTCCTTTATCTTGTGAGTCCTTTGATCTTTTTGTAATAGGACTTGGGATTTTTTTCAATATCTTTGAAGTTTAATAGCTTTGTTAGCCAGGTTATCTATTTTCTGTAATTAATTACTTTAAAAAATGGTTTCAGAATAACTTTAAATATTGATTTCACTGTATCTGCAAGAAGTAGATTTAGGAGTCTCTGGTGGTTCTGGTTTGGGGTTTCTCATGAGGTTTCAGCTAAGTTTTTGACTGGACCTTAGTTCTCCAGAGGCTTGGCCGGGCCTTCCACCCACATGACTCATGTGCATGCTGGCAGCCTGCTGCTTGGTGCACGCCATAGGGCCACTCCATAAGAGTTCTTGCCATAGTTTGCCTCCCCTGGTAGGAATGATGCAAGAGACTGCAAAATGCAAGCCGTGACAGTTCCTAAACCTGTTGTGGGCCTGCATTCGTTCTATCCAGGAGGCTGCTTTGTTCCCTGTCACTGCATGGGTTTGGAAGCAGGAGTCTGAGCCATCATGCTTCACTTATTTATTTATTTATTTTTTTTTACCACCCCCTGTCCTCCTCCTAGCATTTAATTACATACTATTTGGCCCTTTGGGGTCTAGACCATTATCTTCCAGAAGAGCTTACTCTCCAGTTTTCTCTCCCAGTGGTGAGCAGTAGCTCAATTCTCTGTTAGCTGTTAAGACTTAATTTTCAAATTAGATTTATTTATGTACAGAAGTCAGAGGACAGCTTGTGGATAGTTGGTTCTTTCCTTCTACTCTTTGGATCCTAGGGAATGAAGTCAGTGTCAGGTCTGGCTGCACACACCTTTACCCACTGAGCCATCTTGCCAGCACCAGTGGCTCAGACTTGTAACCAGCTATTTGGAATATGTCCACACTGGCATAACTTAGGCAGTGGTTCTCAACCTTCCCAAAGCTGTGACCCTCCCTTTAATACAGTTCCCATGTTGTGGTGACCCCAACCATGAAGTTATTTCGTCGCTACTTCATACTTGTAATTTTGCTACTGTTATGAATTGTAATATAAATATCTGATATGCAGGATATCTCACAGGTTGAGGACCACTGACTTAAAGCCAGATATGAGGCAATTTATATAAAGAATTTGGAATTATTTTTCTGACTCCCATTCTCATTTCTAAGCATTTCTCCTGAATTCAGTCAGCCAGCGACCTCCAGGTTCTTCCCTGGTACTGGTTAGATCCTGCCATCTGAGGCAGTGTGTGGAAAGCCACTCACTGCCATTTCTTCCTTCTACAGGGCTTTCCTTCTTTGTTTACATTCCAGTCCCTTCACATGCTTTGTTCAGAGCTGATATTGTCAGAGGGTTTCTTTTCAATGAAAAAGTTCTGACTCTCACTTTTTAAAAAAGATTTATTTATTATGTATTTAATGTGTATGGATGTTTTGCTTGCATGTATGTCTGTATACCACATTCATGCAGTGCCTACAGAGGTTAGAAAAGTGTGTTGGATCTCCTGGAACTGAAGTTACAGATTGTGAGCTGCCTGCCATGTGGGTATTGGGATTCTGAAAGAGCAGCCAGTGCTCTTAACTGCTGAGCCATCTCTCCAGCCTCAGTTTTTAAGGCTTTTGCTTAATGAATCTGTCTTAGAAGGGATTTCCTGTATTATGCTATTAATATTGTCAAACCACCTACCCTTTCCAATACCTCACTTCTGTATAACCCTCACTCATGCCAGTTGACAGAATATGTTTTAAACATTTATTTTCCAGTTCCCCCAGCTAGAATATGAGTACCATGAGAGCCTCCGTCTGTCTGTCTGTCTGTCTCCCCCGCCTCTTGTGCGTGAGCGCACACGTGCTCTGCTGTCATTTTAGTTCCCTGAACCAGCTCAGCGAGAATGGATTTGTGGTATGAATGAATGAATCAGTGCATAATTTTGCCCTTTTCCCGTGTCCTTGAATAGTGCCCGAAAGGCAGTGGATGAGGAAGAGGAAGCAGCTGAGGAACGTCGCAGTATGCGAACCATTTGGGTGCCTGGCCGAAAGGGCTTGTCTGCAAGAGAAGCAGCAGCCTTAATAGTGGAAGAAGCCAAAGCCATTCTGCAGCAGGACTTGATTGAAATGGGAGTGCACTGGGATCCAGATTCACCCTTGAGTTCTAGCACATATTCACAGACCAGTAGTGGGTCAGAAGCAAAGGAGTACACATTTAAATCTCAAACTAAGAGATCTCCCAAGAGGTTGACATCAAAGAACAGAAATAGTGTGAGAGCAAGTGATTCTAGTGGCAAACAGTCACCAGGTGCAGCCCAAGGCTTAGGTGACCACAGAAAGCGTGCAGACTCCCTCTGTTTATCCCAGGGGAGTCAGGAGCACCGGCCGCAGCACTACATTTGCAGAGCAAGAAAACAGACTTCTTTGGGTATAAACAAAAAGAAGCTTCGGATGTCTCGGAATGAAGGAGAACCAAGCCCTAAGGAAGTTCTTCAAACTTCCTCTCTGGAGAAAACAAGAAAAGCTGTGTTGAGTTTTAGTTCGGAGCACATGAACACCAGTTCTCCATCTTGGAGAGACAGAAAGTATCGAAAAAAATCTCGGGGCAGTAGCCTGGTGCATGACTCTGGGCCTAAACATGATAGAGACGATTTCCAGGGACAGACTGTGTCTAGATCTGCTCTATGTAAAGACCCGTTTTTCTTAGACAAACGAAATACAGAATTTAGAAGTCCAGAGCTGCTTACAAAAAATGTATCTTTTTGTGCCAAGGAAAAATACAACAAAATCTCATTCCCTTTACAAATGCAGCAGCCTTGCTTAAGGAAAAAAATAGAAAGTAATGGTGTTGTGGAATATTCCCTTGTAGAATCTCAGAGTAAAGATGTGACTGGTCAGACCCCTGGTGTTGCTAGCAATGGAAGAGAATTGGCTGATACTGAGATAGGAAAAATAAATGAGGTACTCATAGAGAATGGAACAAAAAGCCAGAATGTTTCTGGGAAACACTGTGACACCCACCCAGTTAGCCAGTGCCTGGGAAATCAGTGTGACAGACAGACAAACACTTGCACCAAACGGAAAATATCAATAGAGAGACAAGTGTCCTGTGAAACAGTTAGTTATATGGCCAGAGACTCAAATGGTGTTGCAACCATCAAATGTGAAAGCATAAAGCTTAATAGCAAAGAGGATGAGTCAGATCACTGTCAGGCATTGGGAAATAATCCAGGCAGGACTGAGGCACCTCGTGGATTACTGCAGTCAGCTGGACTTGGTCAAGCAGGTGGCCAGCATGAGCATCTCCTAAATTCTGGAATACAAGAAAAAATGGATGCTTATGCAACAGATAAAACTGAACATAATCATGTTTCTAACCTTGTCCCCTGTGACTTTGGAGATAGCTTCTACCTGGATACTCAGGCAGTGAAAATAATTGAGCAGGTGGCATCTGAACACGTGGAGCAAGGAACAAAGGCGGCGGCAGGGGTGACAGAGATGGCCTCTCACACTCAGGACTCCGAGTGCTTCCTTCAGACCGAGGACCACAGCCCTCCAGGTGAACAGCATTTCCGAGGAGCAGCTAACACAGGCCGTGTGGAGAGCAGGAGTGTAGAGTCCAGTAAACAGGACTCTGCAGAGGGCCTTGGCAGGCCAGCTCCAGAAAGCCCCGTTTCCCACTCTCCAACAGCACAGCGGGGAAACGGCCCCTGCTTTAAAGAGAATGATCATTCTGTTACTGACTCCCAATTAAACAGTTTCCTTCAAGGTTTTGAAACACAAGAAGTGGTTAAACCAGTCCTACCTCTGGCTCCTCCAGCAGGAACTCCTACTGGTTTAGAGGAAGACAGTCTGCCTGAAACCAGTTTGAATATGAGTGACAGTATACTATTTGACAGTTTTGGTGAGGATGGCTTAGTAAAAGGACAGTCACCTGATGTACAGGCAAAGCAGCCCCTCCTTTCTGAAATGACACCAAACCATGTCAGCCATTCTCCGTGCCCACAAGAAGACCCAGTTCTGAAGGCAAATGTGAACGGACATCAGGGTATTCAGGAGCAGGTGGCTTGTTCTAGTGGTGAATCGATTGTATTTTCAGAGATGGATTCTGCTCAGATGATCGAAGCCTTGGACAGTATGGCTTCATTTCGTGTCCAAGAGAATTGTAACTCAGTAGCCCTTAACACATTAGAACTCCGTGATTCTGCAATGCTGGGTAATGTGTGTGCCCAAGCAGAAGTGGTCAGAGGAGATAAAAACAAAAGGGTTCAGAACTCCAAACTCACTGAGACCAATCAGGATAATTCGTTCAGTTGGTCAGGAGCATCATTTGACTTAAGTCCAGAACTGCAAAGCATTTTAGACAAAGTGTCTAGTCCTGTAGAAAACGAAAGACCCAAATTAACACATGCAAACATGTCTTGCTTTGAAGGAAATGGCATAGAGTTAAGTGAGAGACAGGAAATGAATTCAAATTTGGAGACCCTTCAAGTTCAGAGAACTTCACTTTTTCCCAACAATGAAGTTAAAAGCAGGATTCAGGGAGTGGGGAATGACTCCAGGTGTGGGGGGGCCTCATCTCCCTCAGCTTGTAAAGAAAGCCCCACAGCTGATGACAACGGCCTCGTTCCTCCCACACCCATCCTTGCTTCCACGTCTAAGCTGGCGTTTCCAGAGACTCTTGGGACATTTGTAAATCGTCAGAAAGCTGGCAAGGTTGTATTGCCAGGGGAGCGCTGTTCATTTGGCTCACCTTCAGATAGCCAAAACCATGACATAAATCAAGAACAGAGTGACAGCTTCCAAGATGACGGCTCCTTTGGAGACACAGGTTTTCCTGTGCAGTTCTCTCAGGATGGACTGCAGTTCACTCCATCCTCATGCAGCTCAGAAAGCTTGGCCATAATTGATGTAGCAAGTGACCGGACTCTGTTTCTAACCTTTGTAAAGGAGTGGCGAGGCCAAAAGCGCTTTTCCATCTCTCTGGCTTGTGAGAGGATAAGTTCGGCATCTTCCAGAACCTCTACCATAGGTGGAAGGCTGAAGCAAGGTAAGGATTTTTACAATTTTAATTTTCTGCATTGGTGGCTTGAGATTGAATTTTTAAATTTTAGATATTATATATAATTTATTCAAATTGAATAGCTATATCCACTTAATAATCTTCTAAATGGATATATGTGTAGCTTTTCTTTATTTGGCTCAGCTAGTTACTAATAATTGCTCTCCATTCTATTTTAAATTTATAAAAATAGTAAATGTTTTGGATAATATTACACTTTTAAAGTACTTTAATTTAAAATGGTTTTTATTAGTTATTAGTACTCACAAATTGCTCTTACTCCATTATAAAAGTACACAGCAGATGGGTACTATATATCTCATAAAGTACTTAGCTGAACTTTCCAGGAACTATCTCGAGTATTAGCCCTCTTGATGACTCTGTACTGAAATGTTGGTTCTGAGTCCTCACAGAGCCTTTCTAGGGTTCCAGAGTTCCAACGATGCCATGAACATTTGTCCTGTGACTGGGGAGAAGCCATAGTCAGCTTGTCACCTTGTGGCAATCAGAGATGTGATTAGATTTCATAAAGCTCTGTATTTATGTGTTTGTCATTAAGGTGTTGGTATTTATCTGACCTTCAATTCTTGGAGCATGTGTGTTACTGGTAGATTCTATGTGCCCTTAGTGTGTAGCATTTCCTATTCCCAACCCGTCAAGTATAAAATTGAGCCCATGTCCTCATAAGAGCCCAGGCTTCTTATGGAGGCATAAGTTCGCTTAAAGTTAATAAGTATGTATTGTCTTCCTATGTACCAGTATCTTCCAGGTATTGAGATTGTAATTGTAAATTAAGTTGATTGGGTCTTGACCCTTGTAAAATTAAGTAGATGTTAATTTAGAAAAAAATGTTGACTGTAAATACAAAAATTACACTAAATTGTTCACAGTAAAACTCGGTGCCTTTGATTAAGAATTGGTGAATTTGCTATAAGTGTGTGTGTGTGTGTGTGTGTGTGTGTGTGTGTGTGTGTGTGTGTGTGTATTTGTGCGCATGCATGCACATATGGTCCTTTTTTGTTCTAGAAACTTGAAAAACAGCTTTTTTCACCTAGTGGTTTCTCTTTAGTCATTATAGATCTATTTTAGTCAAGTTGTGGTACATTGTTTTTATGGTCACAGGTATCTTAATTGATGTGAAATGTAAAAAGTTACACACACCTGAAAATGACCACCCAAAAATCCATCTTTTACAATTGCAGATTTTTTTGCCAATTAAGTATTGTGAGGGCCAGTGTTTTGTCATCTTGGCATAAGCTGGAATTATCTGGGAAACAGAACCTCCCCTGAGAAAATGCCTCTATCAGATTGGCTCTAGGCAAGTCTGGGGGGCATTTTCTTGGTTAATGATTGATGTGGGAGGGCCCAGTCCACTGTGCCATTCCACCTTTGGCCAGGTGGTTCTTTCTCTGTGGTGTAAGAAAGCAGGCTGAGCAAGCCATGAAAGCAAGCCAGGAAGTATTATTCCTCCATAGTCTTTTCTCCAGTTCCTGCCTTGAGTTCCTGCCCTGATTTTCCTTGGCAATAGACCATACCTAAGCAGTAAGCTGAAATCAGCCCTGTCCTGCTTACAGTCATGTTTGTGTTTGCCACAGCACTGGGAACCTGACCAGGACAGACAGGTTGTTCTGTTGTTGTTTTGCATGTTTGGGGGACAGAGTCTTGCCATGGAGCCCAGGCTGGCTTTGAGTTTATAATCATCTTGCCTCAGTTTACCAAGTGCTGAGATTATAAAGTATGTGCCACCATGATGAGTGAAGTAAAGTTTTTAATAGTTGGTTTGATGCCTGAATATTGGAGATTTCTTTGACAGTCTTACTTTGGATTCATTTAGTGAGCTTTCCTGAGGAAAGCCCTGTTGAAGATGGTGGGTTTCCTGTCCACGGCTCTGATGGCGTTGTGGTAGTCGGACTAGCAGTGTGCTGGGGTGGAAAGGATGCCTATTACCTGTCATTGCAGAAGGAGCACCAGCATTCCGGTGAGTAATTGACGTTTGGATAAGTTACATATGCTCTGTCACCTCTACTAAGGGAGGTATTTTGTTTTTTTGAGAATTTTTTAAATTATTTGAGAATAACTTTCTGATATTACATAGACTTTATTTTTAGTATTGAAAATAATTATTAAGAGGATATCTAATTTATGCATAATCACATATATTAATTAGAATGAATTCTTCTTTCCCTCCCTTTATCCCTCTGTTGAGCCCAAAGAGGGCCCCAGAAATGGCAGTGTCACTGCCAATGTCCTAAATGAGCCCAATGTCTGGGCTCAACTCAGGCTGAACTCTGGGTAAACAAAACCTAAATTCAGCACTCCTCAGAAATGTTGGGTTTCTGTTTGTCAGGAAAAGCCAATACTTCCTTATCTGTCCCCTACAGCCAACTGCCTCTGGCAATGGGCATCTAGTTTGTGATTGACTCAAACAAGCCTGCAACTAGCAAAGCCCCCACACTAGTTTCCAGGCTTGTCTGGCCAGCACCCCACCTCCTGCTACTTAACTCCTAGGCTGTTCTTGCTCCCCCACACCTGTCCCCTCAAAACTGACAAACCTATAACCCTATACCCACTTTGTTGCTGTCCTGTCCCCAACAGACAGCCCAGCAGTTTGAATCCCCAGTAAATCTTTGTTTCTGCCCATGGAGTGGTCTATTTTGGTGGTTTCACTGTGCCCTTGCTTACACTCTCCTTCTATTCCTCCTTTCCGGGGGTTCTGGGACTGAGCCCCGAGCTCCATACCTGCTAGACAAGTGTTCTCCCCTGGAGCCATGCCCACAGACCAGAATAAATGCTTTGAGAAACACTGCTTTGCTCCCTACTGCCTGCTCCATGAGGCCATTAACACAGGCTGCAGCAGTTTCTTCTCAGTCTATCTCTTCCTGTAATCTGGGTCTGGAGTTCATCCAGGGGCAGCAATGAGCTAGAGAACCATGGTTGCTGAAATCCGAGACTGTTCGAGGAGCCTTTGGAAGGGAAGGATACAATCTAGAAATACCTTGGGATCTGATTACATAGTCCGTTCCTCAGCTGTTTGGACAGGAGCAATCAGTAAGGGTGACATACGGTGTCTGTCATCTCTTCAAGGAGGTCTTTCCACTCTCTTTATAGAGCAGTGTGTTGCCTGAGTAGCTACTTGAACTTCTTTTATTTTTGATACAACATTGTATCTTCCACTTTAAACTTAATTTCTAAAGCTGCTACCTTTCTTGAACTCTGTTCTGAAAATATAATTTTATTATTAGAAGTCTTGGTACTTAGAATTTTACTCACATAATGAAATAAAACATTATAAATCTAGTCCAAACCATCATGTTTAGATTATGAAGTACTTGGAGTATGTGATTGTTGTGACCTGACCAAGCAGCTTTTTGTTCTGACTTCCTCATCTCTCCACTGAAGACTGCTGCTTTAGATGAATGAACAGTAAGACTTTGTTTCTCTTTCAAGAAATTAGTCCCAGTCTGGCCCCGCCTCCTCTGGATCCAACACTAACTGTGGAAGAGAGGATGGAGCACCTTCAATCCTGCCTGCAGAATCAGTCTGGCCAAGAGCGGGCTGTTGTCACCTATGACTTCATCCAGAGCTACAAAGTCCTCCTGCTGTCCTGTGGTGTCTCCCTGGAACCGCGCTATGAAGATCCCAAGGTTCTGTCTACATGTAACTCTATGAACGGCAATATGATTAATGCCCAGGGATAATTCTACATGTCCTTAATGTTTTCAAACAAGACGCTTCTCATTCACCCAGAATATATCATTGTGTACCAAATGCCTCTGTGGGTGAACGCAGAAATATCACAAATTCTAAATGTTAAAGGTCATGTTCTTCCTCAAAGATTAAAAAGAAGAACTTTAGTTTTGGTTATAAGTTGTAAATTTCTATACCATAGTAAATTAGAAGTGAAACATGAACTGTTAGGTTTTAGAGTATGATAGCAAGAGTTTTCCAATATTGTGAAGGTATAGGAGAATATAGGAGAAGTTCGTGGATCTGAATGTCAAAAGGGAGTGCTCTTAGGGGCGCTAAGACTCACTAGTCCCTGAGAACAGTTTTGCACAATAGCAAAGTGTGATGTTCCTTTATGATGCTGAGCCATCAAGGAGCGATAGCTTACATTACAGTAGAATACATTTGATACTTCAATGCTTTACCGAGACTACTATAAGACACACCATTTCTTCCCATGTGTTGCTAACAGATGTATGAACTATGCAGAGTGGAATTGAAAATTATACTATTTTAACAGTTATTAGAAAAATATCAAATGTAATCGGACATTTTTTTCTTAGAATTTTAGCTTTGAATTTCACCCCATTTAATTTGATTTTGCCTATGAGCTTGTTGTAAATTGCATTTATTATGCTTAGATATATTTCTTGTATCCCTAATCTGTCCAGGATTTTATCATGAAGGGGTTCTGTATTTTGTCAAAGGCTTTTTTGGCATCTAATGAAATGATTATGTTGTTTTTTTCTTTCAGTTTACTTATGTAGTGGATTACATTTACTGATTTTAGTATGTTGAATCATCCCCTACATCTCTGGGGTGAAGCCTACTTGATCATGAATGATCTTTTTGATGTGTTCTTCTATTAGGTTTGCAAGTATTTTATTGAATATTTTTGCATGTATGTTCATAAGGGAAATTCTCTTTCTTTGTGAGTCTTTATGTGGTTTGAGTATTAGGGTAACTGTGGCTTCATAAAATTAATTGGGCAATGTTCCTTTTGTTTCTATTTTGTGGAATATTTTGAAGAATATTGGCATTAATTCTTCTTTGAAAATCTGGTAGAATTCTGTGCTAAAACTATCTGGCCCTGGGCTTTTTTGGTTGGGAGACTTTTTTTTTTTTTTTTTTTTTTGGTTTTTCGAGACAGGGTTTCTCTGCATAGCTTTGTGCCTTTCCTGGAGCTCACTTGGTAGCCCAGGCTGGCCTCGAACTCACAGAGATTCGCCTGGCTCTGCCTCCCGAGTGCTGGGATTAAAGGCGTGCGCCACCACCGCCTGGCAGTTGGGATACTTTTAATGACTGCTTCTATTTCACTAGAGGCTATAGGTCTATTTTAATTATTTATCTGATCTTGACTTAATTTTGGTAAATGGTACTAAGAAAATTATCCATTTCTTTTAGAATTTCCAGTTTGGTGGAGTACATGGCTTTGTTTGTTTGTTTTAGTTTTTTCAAATCAGGGTTTCTCCGTGTAGGGTTTTTTTTTTTTTTTTTTTTTTGGTGCCTGTTCTGGATCTCACTCTGTAGACCAGGCTGGCCTTGAACTCACAGAGATCCGCCTAGAAATGCATGAAATGGCTTTGAAAAAAATCAAGCAAACTGTCTGATTACTGTCTCATTCAGGTGGCATGCTGGCTTCTCGACCCAGATTCTAAGGAGCCGACTCTTCATAGCATAGTGACCAGTTCTCTTCCCCAGGAGCTTCCGCTCCTCGAAGGAATAGAGACAGGCCAAGGAATTCAGAGCCTGGGGCTAAATGTGAACACTGAGCATTCTGGACGGTACAGAGCATCTGTGGAGTCTATTCTCATCTTCAACTCCATGAACCAACTCAACTCCTCGTTGCAGAAGGAAAACCTTCATGGTAAAAGCAGAGTTCATGCATTCTATGTTATAGGCTGGGATAATATGTACACATTGTTAGCTACTCTTCCATCACAGGTGGATACATTACACATTGTGTGCAAACCCTCTGGGCTACCTCCTGAGGAAGTCAACAAACCTGGTTTTTTTCTTTGTTTGTTTGGTTTTCCTCTGTAAAAGACTTGCAAACTGCACGGTGTCTGTCACAAGTCCTCAGTCTGACGTTGCTCACTAGAGCAGCCATGGTCATATCAAATGCTGTGGTGTCTTCTAATAATTTACTTGCAAGACATGCGTCTGGTGCTCATCCTACCATAATTTGCTGACCTCTGGCCTTATAAAGATTAGAATTAGTGCTATCATATTCAGTTTTGACAATTATATATTTGAATTTTACCAAATGACTTTATTCATGTAACAGATCTTTCATGTAATTTAAAAGAGGAACCATTTTCTGTTTAGAGCTATCAATGGTTTCTTTAGCAAAGGAAAGTCTTATGATTCTCCTTTTCTCTCAAGACACCATGGATTTCAAGTCTGCTGGCCCAGGACAGACTTGTTGACTTGAGAGTGTCGCAAATGATATATAATGAAGATGGTGAAGGGATCAAGGTTGTCTTCAGTATGAGGAAATTATACCACGCGGTTTATGACTGATCCGTAGATAACCAGAAACAGCAGAGCAGTGTGCTGAAGATGTATGGCTTGAGTTGGCGCTGCCTCACTTACTGGCTAGGACCTACACCAAACTAGTGAAAGTCTTCTGTCTGGGTCTTAGGAAGTCCGATGTAAAATCAACGAGGCATCATATGTGCTCTTTCTCACACTGTTGCTATGGTTATTTTCCCTCTCCCACAGAGCCTCTCTTTCTTCTTGGTACCACAGGGCAGGACTGTAGAGACTGAGTCCACATTGACCTGACTTGTATGCTTATAGAGGCTGTTCTTCTGGGGTGATCGTGGGTAGCAGCTCCTGTGCAGAAAGGAGCTTTCTTGTTTAACCTCAGCCTCTTTAGGCCAGGGTGGACTGACCAAGGAGAGGGAGATTGGCCCCTAGGCTCTAGCGGCGCTCCTGCATTTATGCTCAATAGCGCGGGTCACAGCTCCTGACCAGTCTCTGCCATCTGTCTCCGGGAGGTGTCCTGGAGAGTCTGTCATTCCCACTGACTTCTGAAGATCATGCTAGAGTCTTGAGCTGTAGTTTTTAGGAATGGATTAACTGTCTGAATTATAAGCTAGGCACTTATAGGAATATGGAGGCACTTGCTCTAATCCCAAACACTTGGAAGTCTGAAGTAGGAGGTCTCGATTTTGAGGCCATGCTGAGCTACATAGTGAATTTGAGTCTATCCTGAGCTATATAATGAGATCTTGTCTCAGAAAATTCAAGGATTGGGTGGGTGCAAGCCAGAAGCGAGTGAGCATGGTAGAAAGATGGGAGAGGAAGAAATGGATCAGTGTGTGCTCTGTGAAGAAAGGCAGAACTGGAGATGAGGAACAGCCTGATCCTCATGTGAGAAGCCTGAGCTGCCACCTGAGGCCATGGTGATGTCCAGCACGGTCCTACTGCAGCCCAGGTCTGTGTTACCACCAAAGGCCATGCAGCTGTCTGTGGTCGGTACTTCGGCCTGGAGCCATGTTGATGTCCGAAGGCTGTGATGGTGAAGTGGGTGTGGGAAAGCTGGCCCTGCCCCTCTCCTGGCCAGCGGGAGAGCTGGCCCTGGTGGGTGGCATGGGTACAGGAGAGCTGATGAGCTGAGCAACTCAGATACCACTTAGATCCAGGGCTTTGAGTTGGCCCACCCCAACATCTTCCCCACCTATGTGCTGCTAGAGAGCATGAAGGGACGGGTCCTGGGAATCCATAGCCGCAGGGTCTCCATGACTCAGGGCAACAGCAGAATATCTGAGAGTCTCTGTGAGGGTCCAGTATTGATGGTGTAGCAGAAGCCTGAGGCCTGGAACCAGACTAATGACTCATTGCAATGAACATCTGCAAGTGAAGCTGTTTGGACAAAAGGGTGATTTGGGTGACACACCGCAGCTTCTAGTGCCAGTAAAATGCGGGAAAGAAGGGGAGCAGAGTGGTACATGCACATAAGGCTGCGTTGATGGAGGAGCCAGTCATTGCCTAGAGGGGTTAGAGAGACAGCTTTTCATTGTTTGTTGGTTTGTTTGGTTTTTCTTTCTAATTTTTATTTTTTATTTTCTTTGGGGGGGGATTACAAGGGTGGAGGGTAGATATGGAAGGACATGGAAATGCTTGGGATTGGGGTGCATGATGTGAAATAAATATTGATAAGGGACCATGTCTTAAGGTGCTTGGGATCAAATAGTCTTGTTTTCTTGTGCATCAGCTATATCCTTTCTGAATGATTTGAACAGTGAATGTTTTCTAAGTCTTAGAAGAAGAAATGTCTCTTTTAGTTCAGCCTGCTCACAAGATTGCCAGCTTTTCTACTCTTGCAGACAGGGATAGCATCTTGTGCTTAAATGACCTATCCTTTGCCACCTTTCCCTGGTTTGGGGACCTGTTCAGGAGACTGGGTTTGAATGACAGCTTGGATAACTGCTGTGGATTGTCTGAACCAGTTCTGGGTGGTTTCAGCGATGCTAATGGGCCGATGGCTTAGGTGATGGTCTACCATTGCATTTTCCATTTTCCCTTTCAGATGTTTTCTGTAAAGTGGAGATGCCTTCCCAGTACTGCCTGGCCTTGCTAGAACTGAATGGAATTGGCTTTAGTACTGCGGAATGTGAAAGTCAGAAGCACATCATGCAAGCCAAGCTGGACGCCATTGAGACTCAGGCCTATCAGCTAGCTGGCCACAGCTTTTCCTTTACGAGTGCAGATGACATCGCACAGGTAGTGTTTTGGAACTGGAGACATTGAGAGGAGCTGCTAGTTAAAATGATGTGTTTTTACAGTTTGTCTTTCTGTACACTTCTAAATACCAACACTTAGTAAAATAAAACAACTAGAATGCACTGGGGACAGTGTTGTAGCGCCAGGTAACAAGCTGTATCTGTACTCTGAGATAAGGCTGTAAAGGAGGCTTGGATGTTGGTCCAGATGTGCCTGAATCCCGGGCGGCACTCTCTGGGTAGCCATCACTCTGTAGTTGGTGGTGGAGTTCATGACGTGTCGCTATGGTTTCATGATGCCAGTTCAGTTCCTTCATAAGCCCTCACCCGCTTCTTTGTTCCAACATCTTTCTTCAGAAAGGGAAATTGGGTATTTTTCTGAGATATAAATAAAAAAGGAGGTTTTTGTGACCTTTCCTTTTTAGCCATAATTTCAGATTTTTGTAACCTTACTGAAATATTGACAAAGTTACTCCTGTTTTATTTTTACAAGGTTGGTCGTCTCTCTGTTTTCTCCTCTCAACATCTTCTTTCCCTGTAAAGGGAGTTGGAGTTGGCCTTGGAGGAGGAGGAGCCTTCCTACACTGCAGAGCAGCAACTGTTCTGCTGTTTTCTGTTTGTAGTCAGTCATGTAAGGTTTAGTCGAGATCCCAGGCTGCGGGTGGAGCCTGCCCCTGGGTTAAACTCCCTCCTCCTCCTCCATTCATTAGCCAGCAGCGGCCTGACCCTTGGGGGGAGTAGTTAGTGCATCAACTCCTTATGTCTCGTTTCTCCATCAGTGAAATGGGAGTTGTGATGAAATGCCTCAGAAGGTTGTGTCAATAAATGTAAAATGTATACTAAGTGACCATCACGTAGATGGTAAATGATCAATAAATATTATAAACCTTAATCAAAATGCCCCGTTAATCAAGAGAGTTTTGTAGTTTAAAGAACATGAGAAACTTCGTTTTTCTGAAGCCTGTGTTTTATCTGTATTGGGTTCAGTAGTGCTTTCAGGGCTTTCTTTATGGAGAGTAGAGTGTGTGTGTGTGTGTGTGTGTGTGTGTGTGTGTGTGTGTGGTGTGTATGTGTGTGTGTGTCTGTGTGTGTGTGTGTGGTGTGTGTTTCTGAGTATGTTTCGTGACTGAGGAAATATTAATTTTTGCAGGTTTTGTTTTTGGAACTGAAGCTACCACCGAATGGAGAGATGAAAATGCAAGGCGGCAAGAAAACCTTGGGTTCTACCAGGAGAGGGACAGAGAGTGGCCACCAGCTGAGGCTGGGAAGACGGTTCAGCACCAGCAAGGTGCTCTGGGGACTCGCGGGGCAGAGTCGGAACTACTTTTAGCTGTTTGGTGCCAGGAAAAGTGCTGGTGACCTCAAGAGCCACCATAAGGCACCACGTGACCTTATCCAGGTTGGAGTGAGCAGACTGGTTGGTGGTTCAGGATCCTGGAATGCCCTGTGGAGACATTGCAGCCTGGGCACCAGGACTGTAATCTAGTTAGCAGCTCTGTCCTAAGAAACTGTGTGGATGTCTGTGAGCTCACACCTGCAGACATTGCTTATTATTATCCAGTGTGCTCGGGGTTTTGGTAGAATTTGATTTCATGAACACAAAAGTGTTACAGCAGAAAAATATTTTTTTTCAGTTTCGTGAAAAAAATAAATTTTCCATGGATTTGTTTTAAGACTTATCTGTCATTTGCAAGGGAATTTTGCTAGTGATTATCTGTGAACAGTGCATTAATTGGGGAGAGGGAAAGAAGTGCTTGGTTTACTGACTTTCCGTTGGGAAAATGGGCTAGAGAAATGTAGCCACATAGGCTGTGGAGAGCTGTCCAGTTGCCCTTCTGTGGAATGTTGACCCTGACATCATTCAGAGCAATTCATCTGTCCTGGCAAGTGTCCACAACTCTGTTTCCTAGCACAACTCCTGTGAGGCTGGCTGGTCCTTTTGATGCCTTAGCTTCTATTCCATAAGGGCCATAGCATAGAAACACTTGCTTTAAATTTTAAACACTTGCTTCCTGATTTTCTTGATGTGGAACTTCTGTATCAGGGCAAGAAGGGAGACTACTAGGATGCCTCTAGTCACTGACAGTGGATACCTCTAGTCACTGACAGTGGATGCCTCCATCACTGACAGTAGATGCCTCTAATCTCTGACAGACGGAGGAGAAAAAGTAGAAAGAAAAGATGATGTAACTCTTGGGGTATGGAGAAGTGGATACTCCGTGAAAGTGATATTCCATTGATTTTGTCTTTTAAAGGTAGCTATAAATTGGTAGTGTTTAGCATTTCCATATTGCTGTCTTACAGATTTATCATTATAGTGACTTCTAAAACTTGTAAAAACACCTAGCCAATGATTCAGAGTTGTGGATATAGGGTTTATCAGACTAAATTTTGAGATGTTTTCGTTTACATCATTAGACATTCTAATTTACCATTGAATTTGGTAAGATTCCAACCTTAACCTTGTTATATTTCTTTCCAGGAAGTTTTAAATAAATTAAAGGCCTTGCATCCTTTGCCAGGCCTGATACTGGAATGGAGAAGAATCAGTAATGCTATTACCAAAGTGGTCTTCCCTCTGCAGCGGGAAAAGCGCCTGAACCCTTTTCTCAGAATGGAAAGGATCTACCCTGTATCACAGTCACACACAGCTACAGGTGAGAGAGGAACAGACGTTGCCCATGTAATATCTGTGATGGCCCAGGGACTCATGTCCATCCCCGGTGAAGGTCACTGCACTAAGAAAGCCCACACTGCCTCCACACAGCTAGAGACCACCTGGATACTGGGAAGAGCAGCTGGAGAGCAGCTGGAAGGGTGCGCTCTGCATCAGAGTTGGTGCGAGATTTGGTATTTGAGTCTGTATTTGACTTGGGGTTCTTAGCTAACTCCATCCTAACCCTTTCTTTTCTGGCCAAGTCTCTGTAGGCCCAGGGGCATCAGTATGTTAACTGTCTCATTTTGCACAAAGAGAAAGCTGTGGAGTGTTCTGAGTGTGATACAGTAGAGAAAAGCTGCTTATTTTCTAGGCGATTACTTGCCGAATATACTGTTCAGGGGAAGAAAGGGCAGTGGGAACACACCATGGATGCGGCGTTTTGATTGGTGGTGAGAGTGTGCGGTCTGAGAGCAGAAATGGAGCTCTGAACTCGGATGCTATGGACTGAGACAAGAGCAGCACCGATCAGTCAGTATCTAAGAGCTCTCTTGGGCAAGGGACATCCCGCATCCCTGCCTCTGCTGTTCAGTACAGGGACTGCGGGAAGCTGCTGTCTTGTCGTTGGCGGTAGTTCTTTTTCTGAATAACTGTCTCCTTTCCTTTGTCCCTAATAAGCTCCTGTCTTTTTCCTAGTCATTTCTTACCTTGTTGATATTTAAGTTTCTCTTTGGAATACCTGTAACTATTAGAAACTAAATAAGATATGTGGTGTGTATAAGTCCCTTTTCCTTGGCTGTGATAAAGTACCATGACCAAAAGCAACTTAAGGATGAAGAGGCTTAGTTTGCCTGAAGGTCACGGGGACTATAGTCCATCATAGCAGGGAAGGGAAGGCAGCGGGAGCAGAAAAGAGAGGTTGTGTTTCATCTGCACACAGGAGACAGAGAGAGCAACAGGAAGTGGGGGAGGCTGGAAACCCTCAAAGCCTGCTCTGGTGAGGTACTTTTTCCAGCAAGGCTGCACTTCCAAAACGTTCCATAACTTCCCAAACAGTGCCACCAACTTGGGACAGTTACCATTCATATGACCACATAGTGCCAAAACAAAATTAACTCCAGAGTTCCAGAGTGTTACATGTTTATTTGCGGCTTCTCACTTCTATTTGTATGATCACTTTAGAAACGCGGTATTTAATGAGTCTTATAATTGCTGTACTATTCAGTAATACAGAATCAGAAGTTTAGCTGAGCATGACAAAGGTGTTTGATGATTAGAATTTATTCTCATTAATGTATATTCATGCTTTGAAACTTATTTTTTACCTTCTTTTTTGTTAGACAGTATTAACACACTGACGCAACTAATAGACCAGGGCAGGGTGCTGAGTACTGAGGTGTGTGGGAAGAGTGTGTGCTGAGGAGTGTGTGGGAACAGAGTGTGTGCTGAGGAGTGTGTGGGAAGAGTGTGTGTGCTGAGGAGTGTGTGGGAACAGAGTGTGTGCTGAGGAGTGTGTGGGAAGAGTGTGTGCTGAGGAGTGTGTGGGGAGAGAGTGTGTGCTGAGGAGTGTGTGGGGAGAGAGTGTGTGCTGAGGAGTGTGTGGG